TAAATTACCCTGCAGCCAACCATAGGAGGACCTTAATTCCAGCTTTGCTTTGTCACTAACGTTTTTAGAATCTTTTAGGGTAAAATTGACTCAAATACCAAATTTTAGATTTTTTAAATGATCTTTCTAAATCAGCCAGACATTTTCCATGTTTTTTTTGAACGATTTTTTGGCCCTTTTCGACCATTTTCAGATGTTTTATCTGATAAAAAATTTCATTTTAAAAAAATAATTATATTTTTAAGACTCCTATAAAGGGCTCCTTGAAAATGAAAAACGTAATTTTTTTGCTTAAAAAAAGGTTACCAACAAAAAATTAAAAAAATCACACAGAAAAAAAATTTCAAATTGGCCGAGTCATAAGAGTTTGACCAAAAATGGTTGAAAAAAGGCCAAAAAATGGCCCATTTTGGAACATCATTTTAAAAAGCCAAAATTTAGTAGCTAACATGCTTCTAAAAAAATGTGTCGCACATCTGGGAATTTTTTTAAGGGCACCTTGGTCTTCCCCCCCCCCTTACGAAGTGAAAGGAACCCCATAAGTTGAAGAAGGTGAACCTATACAAGAGCTTAGAAAACATATCTCCAGATTGGAAAGTTTAAGTGTGAATAAAAGGAATCATAATCTGGAATAAACCAAGGACCTGGAGTAAACCAAATCAGGAATCTGGATTAAAGCAGGGACCTGGAGTAAAACAAAGAATCTAGAGCAAACCAAGGACCTGGAGTAAATCAAGGTCCTGGAGTAAACCAAGGACCTGGAGTAAACCAAATCAGGAATCTGGATTAAACCAGAGACCTGGATTAAAACAAAGAATTTAGAGTAAAAGAAGGACATGGAGTAAATCACGGACCTGGAGTAAACCAAGGACCTGGAGTAAACCAAGGACCCAGAGTAAACCAAACCAGGAATCTGAGAGTTAAGAGAAGAAAAAAAGTTAGCAATGAATTGAAAATACTAAATTTTTTATAAGTTAATAGAGAAGTTATTCTCTAAATTGTTATCTCAGAGATTTAAATATATGTAAGTTATGGATTGCTATGTATCATGTGTTGAACATGAAATATCTACCTATGAACCACTTATAAACTGTATTAGATAAACATGAGATAATTTTATACTTAAAGAGTTAGCCTTAAGATAACCCTGTATCTATAACCTTGAGATAATCCTATACAGGGTTACTCAAAAAGAATAAGACATCAATGAAGACTCACAACTCTTTGACTATAACTAACTATAAGCTGAATTTTATTCTTATGTCCTGGCAATTTTTATGATAGACTTACGAAGCAACTATCAAGCAGCTGCAGGAAAACAAATAAATGTAAAAGAAAAAATTGTCAATGAACGTAAATATATATATATATATTTTAACATATTGTTGTGAATATATGAGGTTATGATCTTTTTGATAATTAGTGAGGGTTAAAATATGTACACCTAATTTTTTATGTTGTATATAGTGAGGCGCGAAAACTCTAGATTAACCTGACGCTAAGGCAAGGGGCCCGTGTATACGGGGTTTCAAGGGCATTCACCTGGTATTTTGGATAGATCAGGGAATCCCGAAAAGGGTGAGCTGGTCAACCTGTAAAGAAACTAGAGTCAGTTGACGATGAACATTCAAACCGAGGAGTGAAGAAATGACTGAAGAGATGGCTTAAATTCTATCGTAGCTCAAGTTCCCTATCATCTTCATATCGATATTCGTTTGCTATGTTTTAGTTATTAACAAATTATTTGTAACGTACATCGCTAAATATTTGGATCGGGATGAACTTTATTTAGTCCTTTTGGATATAAGGTTAATAGATTTCTTTCATATAATACAATATAACAATCGAATAATGTTTATTCCTGTATGAATATTGATTACGCTGCAAGTCTCTCTTAAATATTTATATTATATACTTATAGATAAGCAAACATAAATGATCCCTGTAAATCTAAATGATCCCTGCTCTCCTACGTACTTTGGAGGACGATAATTTGGCCGCTAGATGTCTCCCGTGAGTTATTCATGGACGGACAGAGTTTCTCACGCCATACGGTATCTGGATCATTAGCCGTACTGTGGCCATGATTTATTCGAAAAAAGGTGGCAGCACTAATCAAAGTAGCTTTCTGATTTCATTTCATAAATTGATTGCAGTGTCTTGTTTTTAAGATCCATTGTGAATTTGAAATTAAATCAAAGTACAATTTACTATGTTTAAGATAGTTTGCCGCGTTCAAATCAAATTCGTAATAAGCTTTCCCTTTTTTCCGTCGATAGGGGTCGTATATGCATGTATTTATGGTCGGACAATACTCGGACACTGATAACTCATGGAAGAACGCGTTTGAACAAAACACTATTTCTCCGTACATTTCACGACCAATATAGGAGACGTCAAGTTGTCGACCAATGTAGTTTATGCTAGGAACAGTCTCTGATGTCAAAACACACACATGTCAAATTTACCTAAAAACGACAGACCCAAAGTGTCCAAACACATAAGTTTTTAAAAAAGCAAATTTTTAATAACAGTTAAAAAAACATCTAAAGGAATTGAGTCTTTTCCACAAATTCCGATTTTCTAATCCCTAAATCTTTGCACCCCAATGTCGAAGACCTTAGATATTTCAAACTATGAATTATTTATGATCAAATAATCTAAGTTTGAAATAGTAAAGGTCTACACCATAAGATCATGACAGTCTTTTGGACGAGTTAACAATTTCTTTGTAGTTTGCTGGACGAGGTACCTTAAGCTATTCAGAATGTCGGACTAGGGAGAGGATCTAGTTCATTAGACATTAGACAAGTAAGATGTTTTTTTAAAAAATAATCTTGGTAGTTTCTGTCTGGACGAATAAACGTTGGTATTCTTACGGACGAGTTAACAGGGCCTCTGTATATAATTGACGATGATGGTAACATATAAGTTTTGTGGACGAGCAGAGGAGATATAATAATCTGAGACGATAGTATTAAATTAGCTGCTTAAGTACAGAACTGGAACACAAGATAACAGATTCCGGTCCCATATCTTCAAACCATTGCATCCTCCCTTCAACCTAATCTTCCTTACCTCCCCCCCCCCTCTTCTGATCCTTCCTTCCTTCCTCTTAGTCTTCCCTCCCTCAGCCTTCACATCCTTCCTTCCTCTTAACCTTCCCTTCCCCCTTCTCATTCTTTCTTCCGCTTAACCTTCCCTCCCTCCGCTTATCCTCCTTCCTTCACCTTAATTTTCCCCTTTCATTATTTCTTCCTGTTCTCCATATTTTCTTTCATCTAACCCACCCCCCCTTGCCCCACAGTGATCGAAAGCTTGCAAGCTCACCAACAACAATTGTTGAGAATTTTGCAAATTATGTTTTAAAAACTTAAGCTGAAAAAAAGTGTTTTTTAGATTTAAATGTTTTGAAATGTTTTGTGTCTAAACAAGGTATAAGTGAGATAGTGAGATAAAACTAAAGACCCTAGGTGTTGCGACACTTTAAAGTCGGCCTAGTCTAATACACTTTTTAAATATATCATAACAATCTGGATCAATTTGCCCCCTCCCCTTCCTCCCTATACATCCAAAACTCCCCTTTCTTCTACTCTTTCCTTCAACCCTTCTAACACACACTCAAGTTCCCCCTCCGCCAAACATGACTGAAAATCATTCTTGAGCTGAGAATACGACCTTTTATTGGTCCAAATAGTAGATATTATATCCAGGTTTACTTCTTCTCTTCACACTAAACCTAGAGCATTACTGGAGAATCAGGTCAAACTTAAATTTAGTTTGTAAAAGGAATGCTTCAAAAGATTTTTTTGTTCGGAGAAATTTATTGCTGAAGATTAATTAAAAATTTTAAATTAAGTTTTTAAAAGATCTATTTCGTAGAATTTATCTTGCTAAAGATAAAAATGTGGGTTTAGGATTATTTTTAGTTTCGTTGTAGATTTAAGTGACCCTTAACTAAAAGAGGGGTATCATTGTAGTTTTAAGAGACCCTGAACTGAAAGAGGGGTATTGTTGTAGATTGTTGAGACCCTGAGCTGAAAGAGGGGTATTGTTGTAGATTGTTGAGACCCTGAACTAAAAGAGGAGTATTGTGTAGCTTTAAGTGACCCTGAACTGAAAGAGGGGTATTGTTGTAGATTTAAGAGACCCTGAACTAAAAGAGGGGTATTGTTGTAGATTTGAGAGATCTAAGAAAAGAAAAGGATAGAAAATAAAAGTTCAGGTATTGATAGTAAAAGTGAGGATGGCAGAATTGAAGTAAGGTTTAATGGTATATCTTGCCTCCAAAACGGAACTGGGAATATTTCCTATCCGGAGATAAAACTGCTTGAACCGAACCCGCAATTAACAAGACTAAATTGTCCCAAGGATCATATACTTCTAGATTCAAGATACTATTCTGCATAATAAAGACAGTGTTCGTTGATTAATTACGAAAGGATGAAAGAAAAAAATACGATATCTTAATATGTATAATTACTAGCCTTATAGGGCGCTTCGCGCCCATCTTCTAAATTNTTAAATACTGCAGGAAAATATTTTAAAAACTGCAGGAAAATATCTAAAAACTGCAGGAAAATATTTAAAAAACTGCAGGAAAATATCCGAAAAACTGCAAGAAAATATTTTAAAAACTGCAGGAAATATTTCAAAACTACAGGAGGATATTTAAAAACTGCAGGAAAATATTTTAAAAATCGCAGGAAAATATTTTAAAAACTGCAGGAAAATATTTTAAAAACTGTAGGAAAATATTGAAAAACTGCAGGAAAATATTTAAAAACTGCAGGAAAATATTTTAAAAACTGCAGAAAAATACTTAAAAACTGCAGGAAAATATTTTTAAAACTGCAGTTGTCTTAAAAAACTACGAAGATGCTAAAACTTCTATTTATAAATACATTTATATAAATTTATTCAAATTAATATTTGATTCATATAATACGATGAGATTTAATACATTTTATATCTGTTTAATCTGAAGGAAGTTTCTTAATGATAATAGATCCATAGCAAGCTCATTGTTTCAATATATTGAGATTTAATGCATACATATTTTGTTTTAAATTCATAATTAAAGAAATTTTAGAAATAATTTTAGTAGTTTAACAACTCACAACGGTCCCCGGGCTATTTAATATCTAAACCATTATAAAAAAGGAAGTTTTGGAAATTTGCGAAGTCAATCTCAAAATTAAGATCTTCTCAAAGAAAATTGAGTCTTTGCCACAAACTCTGATTTGCATTACAATGTCGTAGACCTTGTAATTTCAAAACTGTGAATTCTGTTAGATCAAATAATGAAAGTTTTAAATCTGCTTTTTTTAATATCATAGGTTTAGATAAACAATCGGTAGGTTAAGATTAGTGAAAAGTTAAAGTTTGTGGCAAAGATTTAATTTTTGATTCAAATAGTTTTTCGAAATATTGAATTTAAAATCAGAGCTTTAAAATTGTCTATGCGAGTTGTGTCGAGTCCGAACACCTGAATGAGATTAAAATACAGCTAATATACATATACATATACATAAAACTAAAACTATATTTTAAAGTTAATGTTTAGTACTTTTCCCGTGCATTTTTAAAGATTTTCTGTCGTTAAGTAGAAATTTTCATCCTAGTTTATCAGAAAGGATTTAAAGGGAACCGTTGTGAATAAGTTATGGCACTCAAACATTGAAGGATCTCTTGAAAGTTCGTTAACCGTCCCTTTAATGATTTTAATTTTACATCTAAAATACTTTTTACGTTATGTAGCAAATCTAGTTGGCCTTAATTTTTCAAGCTCTTTTTTATTACAGTAATAAAGAAGAAAAATATTACATATTTACATTATATACAGGGTGTCCCATGAAACATGACAGTTGGTGAATAGTTTTAAAGGTATTCTTCCATATACTGTATTAGACGTAAAAGACGTTATGCAGTTATTTAGTTTTAAAAAATCTTTTACACAAATATATTTAACTTTGAAATCCAAATTAGCTATAAAATTACTGCCATTGAATATTTTGTTTATAATTTTCTTTGTTATCAAATAATTTATTGAGGAAGAAGACATTTTAAACTATTCACCAACTGTCATGTTTCTTGGGACACTCTGAATATTAGACTTATCGTCTTATCACACGTAATTCGGAATATTCAGCTAGACAAAATTTGTCTAACTGAATATTTGGGAAAAAGTTACCACTCTACGGTAGAGAAGTAAATAATTCATTTTAACTTGAAATTTTGAAAAATCTAAGTTTGTGATGGAACGACCGGGTGTCCTACAAATACGACAAGAGAAAGACGAATAAACGGTCGTCTTTGACCTTTTAAATGATTTGCGGCATTTATTCGTCAATCTTCTTTTGCATGTATGATTCTTGGAACTAATAACAACAAAAGTCTCCTAGTTCTAGCCTTTCCAAAATGTGGTCTGCCTTTTTTGTGCCGTTATATCTCCGGTAAAATTGAAATCACAAAAAAAGCGGATCAAATTTTGGAAATGCCTTTACCAGGGATATTTTGTTATTATTAACTCGAGAATTTTATTAAATAGGGTTTACGAATAAATACCGCAAATTATTTCAAAGATTAACGACGACCTTCATGTCGTCTTGCTACGGTCTTACTTCGTGGACATCTTGAAAGACTCCTGCTGTTGAAAATGGATTGTAAGCAAGTTTATGGTTTATCCTGCTGCTGGATTCTCCTATCCCTGAGCTGTATCTTGTGTAGTTCAATTTCTAATTTACATTGATCCTGTCTCCGTCCCAACCTCGTCAGTAAACATCTAAACCTGGAGATTAAGAAATGTATAGAACAAGATCTACTGTAAGAAATGTCGTCTTGAATCGTTTTAAAGGACATAATTATATCTATTAAGATAATAACAGGGTGTTTAAACTATTTAAAAAGTATTTGATAAACCATTGGTTGGATGCCGTGGGACATATGTTTCTGATAGTAAATAGTTGATTAAAGGATATAAATCATAGATAAAGATAGATTGCGCATAAGACGACATTTTTCATCTTGAAAGATATAAATGTACAGAGATGTTTTAAAGATATTCCTATTATATAGATTAACTAGGTCGGTCGTGAACATTGGCTGTTCTTATGTCATTGAGTACTTGTGGTCTACATGAGTTCTGTAAAAAGAAATTTAAGTTAGTTTAGTCCTTCTCATGTCCTTTTTCAGTTCTCGTCAATATGATATATTGCTCAGTGAAATAGTTTCATATTTTCAAAATAAAATTCCCTCCTGAGTGGTTTAATAATTATGAAATCCATTAAAACACCAAACCACCCCGCTTATTATTGAAGTACACTTTGACCCCTAGAAGTATAAGTTCGCGGACTGTTTATCATGCATATAAATAGAAATTGCTCGTGAGAAAAAATAACAGTTTTTTTGAGTAAAATTCTCAATTGGAGCACAAAAAAATATTTTGGGACAAACAACTTTTGTATATGATAATGAATTTTTTGAAAATTCAAAAAATTTATTTCGTCAATTCAAAAGTGTTTAACTTCAACAGAGATAGTGACATATCTTGCTAGGAACCATGCTTTTTTAGTAAAAAAAATACAATTTAAATTCTTCCAACTTATGCTATGTCAAAAATCCAAAATAAAGTTAACAAATTTAAGATACATCAATAACATTTTTAGCATACAAGTTAGGGTCGAACCGGGGGGGGGGGGGTGGACCACGCCCCCATGTGCCCCACCCCTCTTGTAGGATGAAATGGAAGGAATACTCGCGCGCTTGGCTGCGCTTATAATTCTCAGTATTCTCGAACCCCTTTTTATATCAAAAGAGCCATTTTGAATGTTTTGCGTGATGTTTTTCATATTGCTAAATATTTTTTGAATATTTGAACTTTGCACAAGGAGTTAGAAAAACGGCTTGACAAATGTACATTAATTGGTTTCTGCATTTTCATTCATGCTTAAAATGACGTCTACAAAAATCCCCCTCTTCTTTAAATGTACGTGTTAACCTTTATGTTCAATGATAAGGGTTCTGTACAATTCCCCTGTACAAATTGTCTATCAGCATTCTATACTCTACCCTTTCTGCGGTACATAAGCTATCTATATTTATTTATCCTTGATATAAATTGAGGAAATATGTTTTTAAATAAGTGAACTTAATCCCTTTAATTAATCAAAAATTGATCTTTATTTTTTTCTTATAAGTTAAACTTTGTTTGTACTTTATTTTTAGATTAAAATTAAACAAAATTGGACTGAACTTAACCCCTCCCCCCCAACACACTTTTCCTTTCTTGTTCAAATACAGTCTTAGGATGCCTTTTTGACACTTTCTTAAAATATGATGTATTCAATTCTTTACTCCACCCCCCATCCCCTTCCCCTCCCCCTTCTCTCCCTTGTAAATCTGAACCTTGGATGAAGGAATATTTACTAACTTGTAAAGAATGAAGAAGAAAAGATGGATGACTGGGATGAGAACTGAGAGACCAAGAACTGTTAACAAACATCTGAAACAGAGGGGACAATTTATTTTTACCTAAACCCATGTAAAATTCAAGAAATTACTTGCCTTTAACTCGAATTTCTTAATCCCTAAATTTACGCAATTTGATAATTAAAACGTTGGCTGATCTAGCAATATTCATAGTTTGAAATATCAATAGTCTACGACATCAAGTTTAAATGATATAAGATTTCAAAAATTTGAGTAGGAGTAGAATTACTTAGTTCCCTAAATAAGCTTTTTATTGTTTTATCCAGTATCGATGCAGAATATTAATTTAATTAAGTCAGCCCCTAAAGAGAAATGAATGTGGCGTCATACAAAAAGTAGGATTTGCGAACAATTCCTTTAACAGCTGAAAATGTAAATTTTCACTTACTGTGTAGGATCACTCCAGTCTAGGATAGAGTACATATAATTTGAAGAATATATGGCAGTACCCTCCTCCTCTATGTACGCAAAGTTTGTAAGTGCGTACACCAGGCAGAACAGTTGGGAATGAAACGCATGTAATAGTCTCCAAGGTCTGAAACCAAAAAAAAAAAAAATTTGTTTTTATTTCATTTAAACTTTTAGATAAATGAGAGATAGCAGATCATTATTGCAAGATTAGAGATCATGAATGGAAGATTAGAGATCATGAATGGAAAATTGGAGATCATGAAAGGAAGATTAGAGATCATGAAAGGAAGATTAAAGACCATGAATTGAAGATTAGAGATACCATGAATGCAAGATTAAAGATACTAAATGGAATATTATATACCATGAATGGAAGATTAGAGATATCATGAATGGAAGATTAAAGATCATGAATGGAAGATTAGAGATCATGAATGGAAGATTAAAGGTCATGATTGGAAGATTAGAGATTACGAAAGGAAGATTAGAGATCATGAAAGGAAGATTAGAGATCGTGAATGGAAGATTAGAGATACAATCCAGTTACTAGATATCCTACCTATCTAAGATAGTATATCCAGTTACTAGATATCCTACCTATCTAAGATAGTATATCCAGTTACTAGATATCCAGATCCTACCTATCTGAGATGAATATATCGATGAGGTTGATTAAAGTGATAACTGCGTGACCAGACAGATTCTGCATATCCAGGGGATGTACTCCGACCTAAAGTACACCAATATATTATGTAATCCAACCTAAAGTACACCAATATATTATGTACTCCAACCTAAGTACACAAATGTGTTATGTACTACGACCTAAAGTACACCAATATAATATGTACTCCAACCTAAAGTAAATCTATATATTATCTACTTCGACCTAAAATACACTCATATATCATGTACTCCGACTTAAAGTACACTAAAGTACTATTTACTACGAATTAAAGTACAACAATTTTTTATGTACTCCAACTTAATGTACACAAATATATTATGTACTCAGACCTTAAGTACACAAATGACTTATGTACTCCAACCTAAAGTACCCCAATGTTTATGTACTCGAACCTAGAGTACACCAATGTATTATGCACTCCGACATATAGTTCCTTTATATATTATGTACTCAGACACTAAGTTCACCAATATATTATGTACTATGACTTAAAACGATGGATTTCACTATGTTTGAAATCTTTAGTGATAAGTTTCCTCGCTTAAAGGGACTGTAAGCGTAATTTCAAGTGACCCTCCATGCAAAGATGGCATATACCCGGTTTACAACGGTACCCTTGAAAGCTTTGTCTAATAAAGTAGAAATTAGTTAACAATGTTTTTGTTTCTTTTAACTGTTCATTTTTAATTGCGGTTTCTCTAAGAAAGTGAATTGCGCATTTCTTGCTTGAAAGAAGCAATGGAGAAACTCACAAAAATAAACACTTTTTGAATCAGAACTTTTAATCAATTTTCAAGGGTAAATTGTAATTCAGGCATTGCCATCTTTGCATTGACGGTCACTTGAAATTACGCTTACAGTCCCTTTAATGTTACTTTTGTGGTGTTGTGATGCAATAGCTTGAATTTTCCAAGAGTGCGTGGGAGAAAATGGAGAAAAAATTATTTAAAACTTGATTTTGTAATCTTGAATAATATGAACAAACAGGTTTAAAAGAAACCACTAACCGTAGATTTAAAATTGTACTATTTACACTTTGCTAAACACTGTATAAAATTGTACATTATTGTACAGTACACATTATAAACAATATTTACCTGATAGAAGAAAGGCCAGTACACAAGACTGCTCACTGAAAACAACATCTTTAAAATCGTTAATTTATAAAATATAATCAAAACAAGAATCAAACTCCATGGGTAAAACATATGAAATTAAAAGAAACTCTGGTATAAAACTAACTTAATATAAATGTATCCAGGTATAAAACTAACTTAATGTAAATTTATCCAGGTATAAAACTAACCTCATGTAACTGTATCCAGGTATAAAACTAACCTAATGTAACTGTATCCAGGTATAAAACTAACCTAATGTAACTGTATCCAGATATAAAACTAACATGAAACTGTATCCAGGTATAAAACTAACCTGAAACTGTATCCAGGTATAAAACTAACATGAAACTATATCCAGGTATAAAACTAGCCTAATGTAACTGTATCCAGGTATAAAATTAACTTAATGTAAATGTATCCAGGTATAAAACTAACCTAATGTAAATGTATCCAGGTATAAAACTAACCCAATGTAAATGTATCCAGGTATAAAACTAACCTACTGTAACTGTATCCAGGTATAAAACTAACCTAATGTTACTGTATCCAGGTATAAAACTAACCTTATAAAACCATATCCATGCTTAAAACTAACCTAATGAAAATGAATCCAGGTATAAAACTAACCTAATGAAAATGTATCCAGGTATAAAACTAACCTAATGAAACTGTATCCAGGAGTAAAACTAACCTAATGAAACTGTACAGTTAATATTAGCAAGAATCCATAATGTTCTGTAGAGGGGAGGGAGAGGAGAACTCGAACTTGCATAGTTTTCTCCAGAACTTCCATAGTTCTCAGATAAACTTAACTCCACCTGACCTGAAGTATATCAATCTACATTTTAAATCTTCATGTTACAATGCTTTAAATAGATTATCTTTTGTTTAAAGGGACTATCGACGTAACTTTAAGTGAACTTTATTCAATTACGGGGGCATACCCAATTCACTATGATCCCCTTCAACTTTTTTTTTTCTAACATAAATTTTACACTTTTTCAGATAGAAACCTACAATATCTTCCTTAAAAGGCATCAGGGGTACCGTTTTTAATCAGGCATGCAACTTTTATAATAAAATGTCACTTGAAATTATTCTGACAGTTCTAGGACATCAGAGGTTATATGATTTGAGATTCTCATCTTTGAAACAAAAAGATATCGGTGGTATTGGACTTTACCTTTAAATTCTCTTCTCAATCTAGCTGTGACTAGAAGTGAATCTAGAGTATAATGAAGAAGAGCTAGAAGTCTGCTCCAAGTGGCCAAATATAACCAGTACCTCCAGTCAGAATCTAGAATAAAGGATTCTTTATATTAAACCTACCTCTAGGTACAGTCACAAAGTATATCCTGTGGAAACCTTTCAGATAACTAAATCTGTACAGTAACAAAATATATCCTGGCAATATATCATGATAACTAAACCTATTCTGGGTGCCGATACAAAGTTTATCCTGGATAAACCTTCTGATAACTAAACCTACTCTGGGTGCCGATACAAAGTATATCCTGGATAAACCTTCTGATAACTAAACCTACTCTGGGTTATAATGGTAAAACCTTACTGATAACTAATTCTACTCTAGGTACAGTAACAAAGTATATAATGGTAAACATTCCGATAACTAAACCTACTCCGGGTGCCGATACAAAGTATATCCTGGATAAACCTTCTGATAACTAAACCTACTCTGGGTGCTGATACAAAGTATATCCCATTGGTAACCCTTCTAATAACTAAACCTAATCTAGCCACAGTAACAAAGTGTATAATGGTAAAACCCTAATGCTAACTAATCCTACTCTAGGTTCAGTAACAAATTATATAATGATAAACCTTGCTGATAAATAATCTTACTCTACGTACAGTAACAAAGTATATCATGGTAAACATTCTGATAACTAAACCTACTCTGGATACCGATACAAAGTATATCCTGGGTAACCCTTCTAATAACTAAACCTAATCTAGCCACAGTAACAAAGTGTATAATGGTAAAACCCTACTATACTACCTAATCCTACTCTAGGTTCAGTAAAAAAGTGTATAATGGTAAAACCTTACTGATAACTAATTCTACTCTAGGTACAGTAACAAAGTATATAATGGTAAACATTCTGATAACTAAACCTACTCTGGGTACTGATACAAAGTATATCCTGGGCAAACCTACTGATAACTAAACCTACTCTAGCCACAGTAATAAAATGTATTCTGGGTAAACCCCTCTACTCACTAACCCTTCTCTAGGTACATTCTAAACCCACTCTGGGTAGAGTAACAAAGTAAATCCTGGGTAACCCTACTGATAACTAAACCTACTCTGGGTAGAGTAACAAAGTATACCCTGTGTAACCCTTGTATTCACTAGAACTACACAGTAACAAATATATTAAGCCCTACTAATAACCAACATTTCCTATCTCTATCTAGAGTAGCATTTTAGCTGTATGCAAATTATACCTTGTATAACACGGGTAAAGAAGGATTCTGAAAAGAAGAGGAATGTGAGGATGGTCAGGACCCATCTAAAAATAAAATGTTTTCAAATCTCTAAGTTCTAAAAGTTACTCTAGATCTGGCTCCAGGCTCTGGGAATCCTTGTTTCCATATCTAGTTTAGAATATTTTAATGTCGTACGTTATTCAAGGAAATTATGAATATTTCTACAATTGCTAAAACCAAAAACCTTGAAATGAAGGATATTCTTTCAGGACTAGAGGCGACTTATAGCGTAATTTTTAGAGCTTATCCATTTTGAGGATTTAATAACCGATTCACAGCGGTACCTTGTACACATAGAGAAAGAAAAGTGTAGAGTTAAAGATTATTTATAACCGTATAAAGGTCGGACACAATGAATTGTATAGTTGAACTAGGTGCTGATACTTAAACTACTTCTCTAGAGGGTGCAATAGAAAAGTCAAAATGTAATATGATTCAAAGAAAAGAATTCCTCAAAGATGGTTAAAGGAAAAGAATTCCTCTAAGACGGTTCAAGGAAAATAGTTCCTCTAAGACGGTTCAAGGAAATTAAGTCCTCAAAGATGGTTCAAGGAAAAGAATTCCTGTAAGACAGTTCAAGTAAAAGAATTCCTCTAAGACGGTTCAAGGAAAAGAATTCCTCTAAGATGGTTCAAGGAAAAGAATTCCTCTAAGATGGTTCAAGGGAAAGAATTCCTCTAAGATGGTTCAAGGAAAATAATTCCTCTAAGACGTTTCAAGGAAAATAATTCCGCTAAGATGGTTCAAGGAAAATAATTCCTCTAAGATGGTTCAAGGAAAATAATTCCACTAAGACGGTTCAAGGAAAATAATTTCTCTAAGACTGTTCAAGGAAAACGATTCTTATAAGACGGTTCAAGGAAATAATTTTTCAGAAACGGTTCAAGGAAAATAATTCCACTAAGACGGTTCAAGGAAAATAATTCCACTAAGACGGTTCAAGGAAAATAATTTCTCTAAGACTGTTCAAGGAAAACAATTCTTATAAGACGGTTCAAGGAAATAATTTCTCAGAGACTAAGATGGTTCAAGGAAAAGAATTCCTCTAAGACGGTTCAAGGAAAATAATTCCACTAAGACGGTTCAAGGAAAATAATTTCTCTAAGACTGTTCAAGGAAAACAATTCTTATCAGACGGTTCAAGGAAATAATTTCTCAGAGACGGTTCAAGGAAAATAATTCCTCTGTGTAAGATGGTTCAAAAAAAATATTTCTTCTAAGACGGTTCAAGGAAATAATTTCTCTGAGATGGTTCAATGAAAATAATTCGTTTAAGACGGTTCAAGGAAAATAATTCTTTTAAGACGGTTCAAGGAAAATAATTCCTCTAAGATGGTTCAAGAAAAATAATTCTTCTAAGACGGTTCAAGGAAATAATTTCTCTGAGACGGTTCAATGAAATTAATTCGTTTAAGTCGGTTCAAGGAAAATCATTCTTCTAAGAATGTTCAGATATGAGAGTAAAATGTATATTATTATGTACCTGTAAATTAGATAACTCAGAGGAACCCTCTCCTTGCCAGCGATCCACTAGAACAAATAAACTCATAGTTAAACAAATAAGTACCTAGTGTCTCTCATCTAGGTTAAGAGTTACATGCCACATTCACAAAAGTACCATTTAATCCCTTGTACCAAAATGATGTAGTTTTCTTAGCTTTTCATATTTCAAATTTTGATATACTTGAATGTGTATTGATGTGTTAGAGACAAGTAATAAAATTAAGATAATTTTCATCTTTAAATAACAGAAAAAAACGATATCATCTCAGTTGTAAAGCAGGGTTTAAGCCTTTAAATTAAAAAACCATTGGTCGAAATTAGGTGGACAGTTTCATTAAAACAATGAAGAAAAACCTGCACTGACCGTGTTTGTGAAGAGCTTCTTGTCTGGGGTTTGGTTGGATCTGCATAGGGAGCACAGACCCGGAGAAACCATCCTAGTTTACGAGCAAATGATTTATTCATCTTATTACAAATATCATTATTGATCACAGCAGTAATTAACATATTGTAAACTGGAATTAATTTGACTGAGCCCTGTCGTAATTATATAAATGTACAAATTATTTTTATGATTTATATGTTTCATCCTGTCACCTGTTATAATTTATCTCTAGTTCTGTACAATCATATCCGTCCTTTTATCTATTCGGTGATACATATCCGGAGTAACTGGATACCTGGATACTCGGATACCTGGAACACAATCATACATTGTATTTAAATTCAAATCAACAAGTTATGCATACTTGTATATCAAGGTAGACAAACGATACAAGAAGCAAAGAAATTATGTCATGAGAATTGATTAAAGATATTAATCACAAATAAAATTAATTAAAATGATTTAAAAATCAGATAATCCTTTAATTAGAAAGTTTATATAAAATAATACGACACAGACGGACAGGAGGATACAAGAAGTATATCAAGGTATACCTAGGATACAAGGAGTATATTAAGGTATACCTAGGATACAAGGAGTATATTAAGGTATACCTAGTATACAAGGAGTATATTAAGGTATACCTAGGATACAAGGAGTATATTAAGGTATACCTAGGATACAAGAAGTATATCAAGGTATACCAAGGATACAAGGAGTATATTAAGATATACCTAGGATACTAGGATACAAGGAGTATATTAAGGTATACCTAGGATACAAGAAGTATATTAAGGTATACCAAGGATACAAGGAGTATATTAAGTTATACCTAGGACACAAGGATTATATCAAGGTATCTAGTATACAAGGAGTATATTAAGGTATACCTAGGATACAAGGAGTATATTAAGGTATACCTAGGATACAAGGAGTATATTAAGGTATACATAGTATACAAGGATTACATCAAGGTATACCTATACAAGGATCATATAAATATATACTTAAATACCTGTGAATAAATGTTTGTGTATAACTATGATGATATAACTACAAGGCCGAGTTCTTCTTCTAGACTGTGTAATAATTAAAGCTACACAAGGCAGTTACTATGCAACGCCAGGTAACCTGGACCAAACCGGTATGCGTAATTTCTACACAGACAAATACTGCGTACAACACTCACACACACGTAAGATGGTTTTGTATTAAATTCTAGAGTTTTAATATTTTCACCCCATTCCCAGTTTTAGAAATCTGTTGAATAAAAAACAATTTAGAAAACAATAGGAATATTCCAGACATGATATGATTCACATTATTTACGAGGCGTTATATTCGGAGCAGGTTTCAGTTGAAAATATGCATTATACAGGGTGTCTTGAAAATAATTATTCGTTTAATTTTGATCAATTTCAAATTCTTCTTCATTTCTCGAGATATGAGTTAATCTCAAAAGTTGAAATTTAATAACAGAAAAAGAGAGTTTTTTTCGACACTCTGTATAATATGTAGGCTCCTGTAGACCCTTATCTATCACTGGAGACAAAACTTGTAATTAAACTGTGTTTGTTCAATGAACGGTTTGCATTGTTTAATGTTTACTGATCAAGTGTTTATTTTGATTTACCGGCTTAAGTTCCTTAGTATTCCTGTAATATTAATGATTTTACCAGATATGGAGCAGGGAGCAAGGAATAGAAGGGAGATTTAACTGACGCGGTTCGCCCTACCATATGATTATACAGAGCGTCCCATATCATATTAGATTATCTCCAATCTTTAACACCAAAATAAACCCTTAATACTCGAAAAACTTGTCATTTTCCGGAAGAAAATTCTTATATAAACCTTATGTTATTTTTCAAAATGATTCATTCTAATTAAATTTTCTAATTAGTCCCGAAAATCGTGATTTAGACCCGTTCTCGGTCTAATATGATGTGGGACACCCTGTACATGCTTTGCAGACGGTACTCCATTTGTATATGAAATATTGAGAATAGGTTATTGTATACGCGGTAATGCATGTGTAATCATATGGTAGGGCGAACCGCGTCAGTTATATCTCCCGTCTATTCCTTACTCCCTGATATAGAGACAGGAAAATTGTATTCAATAATTAATGAAAACATTATAAAGGGTTACCCACAAAGGATGAGACAACAAAGACGACCGAAATTCGGATAATATGTCAATCCTAAATATAGATATAATCTTCGAATGGCTATTTACTGATTCGGTGAAGAAAAAAAGACAAGTTTACAATTGCAGGGAATCGTGAAGACAAGGAAACAGACAGAATACATTCCGTACCTTCGTCTCTGAAGTCTCATTCTTTGTGTGTAACCCTGTATAGTAATGGATTTTCTCCAGGCTTAACGCAAAGAAACGAAGAAAAAACAACATTTTTTTTTTTAAATGTGATGTTAAGAGTCATATATGGACCAATTTTTTGAAGGAATATATTATTTAAAGTTGTCAGCTCTAACACTAGATAGAGAGCAAATAATAACGATATAAGGTTACATTTAAATCAGCTGAGGATTTTCGTAATCTTAATGTAATGTTAAAATTAACAAAATTTCGAATTGGTAAAAAGTAAGGTCACTAACATTAATATTCAATTAAAATAATTCTATCATTGCAGGGCCTTTTTAGCTAAAGTAAAACTTTTTTATCAAACATTTAATAAGGCATTCATGGAGGATATAAATTTACAAACATTTACATTTACATTTAATAAGGCATTCATGGAGGATATAAATTTACAACACTGTTAACAATGACTTTTCGTAATTCAAACTGCAAAATATCATTTAAATGGATTCAGATTAAACTTCCGCAAATGCTCTTTATATTTTCGATTTTTCGTTTCATTGTTATATGATTCTATATTTGTATAAACCAAGAGAATACAAGGTTCTATTATTCTATTAATCTGTTAGCTCCCATTCACTGAAGATAGATTGTATCCGGAGCGAGGTTTAAAAACCTAATTAATCGGAGAGAAGATCAGTCTAGGCTCACACGTCCCTCTCCCCTCCCAACCATAAACCAATCAGGGTTCAGCAGATTCTTCTTATCCCTCCTGCTCATCCCTTCAGTAGAGGAGATGGATGAGCAAGGTTTGATGAAAACATGAGTTCTGGAATTGGTTTGATCAGATCTTCTGATCCCACCTACTTGATAGGTCTTGTTATGGGTGGGCTCAGGTTCAAATCAATCTAATCTATTCTAATTAGAACCATCCATCTTTATATCTATTTACAGATCTTTCTACTTTCTTTTTATTTCTTCTTCTTCTTTTTCTTAAATGTTCGCACTCTGTAACTGTTATATTTATATAATAAGAACAAGGAGATAGTGGTTCTCTATCTTATTCCTGTCAGGAAGAGCACACAGTACTCACACTAACCCTGAGTAATGTTAAACCTACTCATTTCTTACTTGATCTTAAACTCATCTCTACTCCAGAGAACTATAAACCTTCCTACCATATTTTCACCATTTATATTTAGCCTTTGATATAGTTCTAGTCCTTGATATAGTTCTAGTCCTAGATTTAGTTCCAGTTCTTGATCTAGTTTCAAGAACTATAAAAAGCTGGATTTTTCTTCTACAATTTAAATTCTTGCTTTGAATGTTTCCATTCCTTCAGTTCGTAGATTTTTATCTTATTTCCCTGTGAAACTGTATGCTTCATCTAAACTTTACTGATTGGAACATTCTTTGAAGAATTCTCTTATGTCATCAAACCTTTGAGAAACCCGTCCGGGAGCATTCAAGAACTTGAAAACTAAGATTAGACGAAAATAAGTTCTGCCTTCGTTTAACTAAATGTCTTTTTATTCATCAAAATATATTTCAAGATTAATCAACAAACTTTTTACTTGAAGAACTCACTGAGTGAATAGTCGAATAATCTAAAATCTAGTTCATACTTTTTATACAATTTCAATATTTTATCTTTAGAGATTGTTTTAAAGTATTCAATCGCCAGGTTAGAAGTTTGCTTGATTCCTCTACCCCCAGGACCAACATGAACTCCTAATCCATCCGTCCCGGTCACCTTCTCCCAGTCCTGTCTCCTGGTGGTCAGGTTTAACTGGTGGAAGATCCATCTTGAATCCTGGCTCAGGGTCTCTAGTTTGATCACAGCATCATAGTTCACAGAGCAAGGAAGACAAACCTGGAACAAGAAGAAAGATATTCATAATATAAAACATATTAAAAAATATGTAATTGCATTAGTATAAAGGGAGTGTTCGCAAAAATGAAAGAGGTTATAGGCTTACGTCGAAAAATATTGGATAATGGTTGCTACTAATCTTACTTATATCTATTGCGTTTAAAAGGAGAAAAATGTTAAAAACGACTCATACCGACGCGTAGAACGTAGCGTCAAAACAAATTCAGAAAGTTGCAACGTTCAACTCTGATCTTAAAAAATCCATTTAATTCCAAACAAATATTATGAAATATCAACTATATACGAATTCGTCAAAAAAAGTCTATGATTTTACGTTGTAATATCTGAATGAATGCAACCTTCTGAATTTGTATATGGACGCTACTTTCTTCGGTATGAGTCGTTTTTAACAATTTTTTCCTTAAAGACGCAACATGTAGGAGTAAGATTACTAGCAATCACCATCGAATATATTTCAACGTAAGCCTATACCCCCTTTTATTTTTAGCGAACACTGCCTTTAAAAAGATCTTCACATTATCAAATCTAATTGTACGCTCACTTGAAATTACGCTGAAAATTCCTTTAAACTATATGAAAGATATGATTTTTATCTATTCTAAGATTACACAGATTACAAAATGAAGGGGATTCTTGTATTCGTTAAATTAAACATGATGAAGCGAATGTCACGTTTCATTGTTCAAAGATTGCACAGATTGCGCAGATTGCACTACGGTTTTGTGTTTGTTTTTAAGTAATGAATAAAAATAATGGGAAGGTTTAGCTTGATTTATGACGAATAAATGACATTCTTAAGTAAAAAGATTTGAGATATGCATTGAACATAAAATGAACGATAAAAATTATTTCTATAAAAATACGTATTTTATTGATTAAATACCTCCGAATAGGGAGCCCAATGTTTGTCCATAACACTAGAATCAGTTTTGATTAGATAATCCACAAACTCTGAGAAGGTTGGGTTCTGTTCCCCGCTCCGGGTTATATTATCAACCATACTAGCAGCCTCGTCTCTGTATCTCATATTATACCTAGATATTAATCAATCTTTTCATTTTTATAAATTCAATATACAAAGTTACATTTCTCTCCCGCATTCATTTGTCAAAAATAGTGATTTCATATTTTCATTTCAATCTAGAAATTGATGTTTATATTGATAAAAATTGGTATTTCTATGTGTCCTAAACCTCGATAGAAAGATGGTTAGAAAGATATTAAACTTCGACCAAGTTTAGTTTAAAACTTACTCTGATGAATTCTCAAGTTTATCTCTGTACCCGGAGACCAATCTTTGGAAAGGGTGTCTCACAACTATAAACTTAAACAAATCTCTCTCTCGGAGATATTTTATTTTTTTCTTCGGATTCAAGGCATAAAATTTCTTCATCAAATTATGTGTTTTCAACTCTTTAATGGCATCCTGAAAATAAAAACTGTCAGAAATTAATAGTTTTATTTAAATATTTGGTTTAAGTAAACCCATCACACCTTTATCTCTGGAACTTTAACACCTCGGAGTAAGAGAAAGAGAGCAGACCATGCATGCGTCCCAACCTTTCCGATCCTACACCAAGCAATACCATCCTGCTCCGATATAGTTACGGAATTAGGGAAAAATCTTCCCTGAAGGTTTTGTTTGGTTGATATCTGCGAACATTCTTTCTTCAACACATTTCTCCGATCTTGGAGAACTCTTCTCGTCTCTCCATAAACCTGAAGAAAATTAATCTTGATAATTTCACTTAAATTTAGTTTAAATTTCGACAGTTTTACTAATGATATTACTTTTTGCTCTTACTGTATTTTCAGAGATCGAAAACGGGTTCTTTCTCTCTCCGTGAAAAATGAAAAGTCCGAGAACTCCGCAAGAAACAATCAAGAGCCAGAGTTTGTTTGTAACACATTTTCTGAATTCTTTCATTTCTTTATTTCTTCCATTGTATCCAGCTGAGGAGAATGAACTGTAGGAAGGATATAAGAAAACCAGGTGAAAATACGGAAACTGGTTTCTGATGTGAAGCGCGCACTGAGTGCACGGTGCGCGTATATAGAGAACAGTTTACAAGCAGACAGGATTCCTTTACAGACCTTTCAAAACTTCAAGAATACTTTATCGAATTTGATCGAGGGAATAAAATCTTGATAAAGTGAGGATGGATGTAGGTTCGGATACATGGATTTATCCAGCATCAGATAAAGATCGTGAACCCTGTTGTATGGTTACGGAAGGAGCCTGGACATGGTTCGGTTCAATCCTTCTCACCCTGTTCCTTTTGGCGGTCTTCAACCTCAAATACTACAGGAAGATCGTCAGCAGACCAAAGAACTTGAAAAAGGTGACCAAATACAAATTTCAACAAAAAATGGATTGGAGCAAATCTTTCAAAATTATGATTTTAATTTTATTTTTTCAAATTTAAAATTTGTTTAGGAGGAGAATGAGAAAGTGTTGAAAGATTATCTGTTAGCTCATCAGCAAGGGGTTGGATGTCAACTTCCAACTTCTCCGATCACAATCAATGATTTCAAGCAGGCCTATCAGGTTCAAACCCAAACCAAATTTTAAATTTTATTAACATTTTTTAACCTTACATTTCCCATAAACCTAGGATAGACAGAAGGATCTTGTGATCTTCAAACTTGAATTCTCCGCGGGATTAGCTCCGACAGAAGATCTAGAGACGGAAGTCGGTCGAACTCCGGAGAACCAGGTTCGGAACCGGAACCAGGATATTGTTCCGTATGATTACAACAGGATTGATGTTGATGGGACGTATATCAATGCTTCTCTTTGCACCGGAGTAGGTTCTAGGAACTATATAGTTACACAAGGTTGGAAACATAAACAACTCATTTATAAATGATGATAGATCGATATTTAACTATGTTAAACCTAGGACCCCTGGAGTCTACAGTATTTAACTATGTTAAACCTAGGACCCCTGGAGTCTACAGTATTTAACTATGTTAAACCTAGGACCCCTTGAGTCTACAGTTCCTGAATTCTGGAGAATGATCTGGAATGAGAAAGTTCCTGTTATTGCAATGCTGACAAGAACATTCGATTTTATTAAAGGTAAAACAATATTATGATTTTTTAAAATATTTCTCTAATTTCTTTTTTTATCAGTGATGTGTGTACAGTACTGGCCTGCTGTACATAAGTTTGAAAGGTAAAACCGAATTAAAAATGTTCCTGAGATGAAAACTTTTTAAAGGAACAGAATGAGTTAAAAAAGTTTCCTTCTCACAGGGAGATTAAATGATCTTTTGGTCAAATCCTCGGAGTGTTGAAAAATGAGAGATGGGTTAAGCTTAATTGATCGCTTATTTGTAAATCCTAAAAAATTGGGACCAATTTGAGATCTATTACTCTCCAATTCTAGAGGTTTTGATAAGAAATAAATCCCATGTTTCAGATATGAAAATCTGCTAATACGAACCCTGTCTGAGACAAAATACGCAAACTTTATTGAACGACGGATCCTGCTCCGTCTGGACGGAGAAGAGAACAGAGAGCTGGTTCAATTTCAGTATACGGACTGGGCCTGCTACGGATTTCCTGTAAATGAAACCTTGCTTGATTATCAGAGACGTGTATCTGAAGCTCTAGAGAATAGCAAATCTAAAGGTAGAGGCTCAGCACTCAAAAATTTTAAATCAGAAACTCTGTCCCTTGGGGGATTAAAGACAGATATTTCCCCCGTCCCATACTTTGTATAGTTTCCCTGCACCCCTTCAATCTACAGCTGATTCCTATCTTCGTGATTCATCTCTCCTAATTTCTTTCTGATCCTTTCCCACCTGATTTTATTAATCACTAGCTTGGGAACCCAGCACTGCCCAGATTACTAAAGTTACTCCTGCCGTTTACCCGCACTTGAACGATTTTACCTGGAAACTAGATTTTTGCTTTTAAAGTCAAACCACTCAACTTATATTCTCAAAACCAATCTAAGAACATTCCCGTGGGTCTCCCGAGTTTCCAATCAATATTCGAGGCAAATCGGTCCAGGGGTTTTTAAGCTATGGTCGGACAAGCAGACAGACAGACAGAAAAACAGAAGTTACAACTGTATATATGTAGATAGATGATCCCTTCCCTTCGGTTTTCATTCATCATAATCGCTTTCTTCCTAATTTGTGTTATCCTGATATCCTCTCTCCTTATTTTATTCATCATAATCTTTCTCCTCGTTATTTCTCTCATCCTTATTCCTTATCCTTTTCCTTCTGATTTCTTTTATCCTAACCCCTTCGGCCTTCCTTCTTGATGTTTCTCATTCTAATCCCTTTTCTTCTAATTTCTTTCATCTTGATCCCTTCTTTCTTGATTTCTTTCCTCTTGATCCCTTCTTTCTTGATTTCTTTCATCTTGATCCCTTCTTCCTTGATTTCTTTCATCTTTATCCCTTCTTTCTTGATTTCTTTTATCTTGATCCCTTCTTTCTTGATTTCTTTCATCTTGATCCTTTCTTTCTTGATTTCTTTCATCTTGATCCCTTCTTCCTTGATTTCTTTCATCTTTATCCCTTCTTTCTTGATTTCTGTCATCTTAATCCCCCTTTTCTGATTTCTCTAATCTCCTTATTTATCTCACCATGATAATCCTTTTCCAAAGATCCCTGTCTTACTCCTATAACCCCTGATCCCAAATCCCTGTACTTCCCTGGTATTATAATATTGTTGTGTCAGGACCCTGTGTAGTGCACTGTAACGATGGAGGAGGAAGGTCTGGAGTATATATTCTTCTAGATTATAATATCAGGAAACCTTCGCAATCTTAATTCTTATTTTCCTGATTTCTTATTTTACTAAAATATTTTGATTTGCATTTTATGAAAATTGCATTATACAAAAAAATACTTTTTTGCGTTTTTTTTCTGGGTTCAACTAATTTCTTATAATTTATATTTTATTTTTTGTAGTTTTTTGATACCCTTTTTTTAAACCTTGATATTTCTAAAATTTATGATATCTCCCTTAAAACGAGATATTTCTAGAGGTATTTTCATCTTTTTTAAAAACTCGGACATATTCTTGACTTCTTAATTCAACACCCTTGGTATCATTGAAATTTAAACTTGCCACGACTCATGTCTAATAATTATTAAAACTGTCTAATACTATGTTGACAACTTCGATCTAAACCTGAATATGGATGAAGGTTGCTAGAGAATGAGGAGAAGCTTGATATTTGCAGCAAGTTCATCAAATTTAGGAAACCAAGATTTTTACTTGAATCTGATCCCCCCCCCCCCCCCCTACTTCCTACTTTTTACTTTCTTCTTTTCCATCCGTTCGTGCTCTTCTCTGTCTTCATTCATACTTCATTTTTCTTCTTAGTATAATATTTTATAAATTAATCAAATCTTATGTTAGCTTTAATCTGGGTTGTTTAGGAGAGAACGGATGGGATTGATAAATACAGAACATCAGTATAGATTAGTATATACTCTTATACATAGATATATAACTGCAGGATTAAATAGGTTAGTATCATCAAATTAAAAAAATTTAAAATATTCGCTCATTTTAAACATTTTATTTTATAAATTTTCTCCAGGAAGAAATGTAGTTTAAAGAACTTGATTCAGGACGGAGAAATTCCAGATAAGCAGATCAAGGTACAGTTTAAGTAGATGAAACTCCAGATAAGCAGATCAAGGTACGTGGCATTGTACAATTATGTACATGGCGCTATACACAATTGTAAATATGGCACTGTACTGTACACGAGTGATACATGTTGCCGTATACATTGTTTAATTGCACAGGACGTGGCCTGACATCTATGTATTTCAGGATGAGTTTAGTCTAGTATTAAGTCTTGTCCCTGGATTAGGACAGGGAGACTGTGCAGGGGCGCATAGAGAAGATAACAGGTGGAAGAATAGAGATTATTTAAATGTTCCTCCAGATGCACACAGACCCTACATATCATCATTCCAGGTTAATTAAGAAAAAACGGCAAAAGGAGACTGTCATTGTTTGTATAATTGGCCCTTCATTTCAAAAAAAGAAAAAAGAGGGGTATGCCCGATTCACAGTGGTACCCTTGAAATCTTTATCTGATCAATATTGTTAAAGATGACGGCATTTTTCTAGATTAAAACGTGTTTAATTTGATAATTTCTCCATTGTTTCCGATATAGGAAAGTCACATTTGTAGAGACACCAGAGATAGAAATAATTAGTTTCCAAAAATAAAAAACAACATGAGTCCAAATTTAATGAATTTGAGCTGCGTTTCAAATCCGCCAAAATCGGTTTCAGTTGAGCGCCGGCTTGAATCTTGAAACATTGAATAAAATTTTAAATGGAACCAACCATATTTAAGCCGCGTCTTAAATTCAAGCCGCGGCTCAAATTCTTTAAATTCGGCCTATTATATTTTATTTTTTACGTTATCATACAACGCTTTTAAAGGGTTCCATTGCGAATCAGACATACCATTCTATCAATTAAGGGTCACTTTTGAATACGTTTACAGTCCCTTTAAACGTTTTAAAAATTAAATTAAACAATATAAAATAGTTAAGAAATTGTCTTCTTTAATTTGAAATATATTTGAGGCCCTTTTGAAAATTTTGAAAGTCTAGAAATTAATAGTAATTCAAATTTTTAGGGGAACTCATGTTCTGACTATATTAATTAATAGTATTTTTAGGGGAACTCATGTACTGACTATATTAATTAATAGTATTTTTAGGGGAACTCATGTACTGACTATATTAATTAATAGTATTTCTAGGGGAACTCATGTACTGACTATATTAATTAATAGTATTTCTAGGGGAACTCATGTACTGACTATATTAATGCTGTCTTTGTAAACGGATTTCTGAGATCTAAGGTATTCAAATATTAATATTTATCAACGAAGATTTAGTTTAGCAGATCTGATTAAATTGTAGATTAAAACATGTTAACTTATTTTTTATTTTAGGAATTTATTGTGACTGAGTGGCCACTTCATCATACAATCTCAGATTTTTGGTCAATGGTCTACGATCACGAGGGAGAAATAATATTGATTAAATTAAAATTAAACGAATTGGAATCAAATTTTTTTTTCTTAGATCTAAATATGTTAGATTTAATAAAATTATCTTTATCTTGTATATTAGATTTAATAATGGCTTATTAAACACACAATATATAACGCAGTCAAGGGAAGAATTAATAAAAGCTTTTTTAGAATTACTAGAAATTCAAGGCGCTTCGCGCCCTTCTTTCTAGCCATAGAGGGTGCTTCGCGCCCATCTCCTAAATTAATTGTGAACATGTTCTCTTTGTGTACATCGTAAAACAAAACAAAAATAATTCGCGGATTTTCACAAAATATTTCGCGGATTTTCAAAATTTTTAAAAATTTAATGACGATCGTACAATATATAACGCAGTCAAGGGAAGAATTAATAAAAGCTTTTTTAGAATTATTCTCTCTGAGCAGGTTTCTACCGTCGTGGTTTTAGACAAAATAAAACCAAGTGGAAGGTTTCCAGCTTTCTGGCCGGAGCAAGGCAAATCTACCAAATATGGGCCTGTATTTAGTGTAGAGAGGTATACTTATATATAAAGTTTTCTGAAGGCTTCACTCCTACCTTTCTAATAACAATTTTAGCTATGAAATTATCAGTTCAATATTTGTGCGGTAACTTAAAAAAGTTTGTCTCATTGTATATTTTTGAGCAAACATTTTTTGTAAATCTGCAAAAAGATCATCATCAGAAACCGAAGAATATATTACCAGATGGGTGCCACACTTCTAGCACCCTCTAGACCTTTCAAAAAAACAATAAGACTCTGGAATTTCTGATTCTTATTTTGTTAACTTTTGAAATTAAGAAAAATCTATTGTTGGTCTGTTTATTTTTTTAGTTTTCATAAACGAAATTGGCTTGGTTGTTTCCATCGAATAATTACTAATTATTGTTCAGTACTGGCTTAAATAATGAAAATAATGGAAGAATGATTACTAAAGATTATATTGTTTAGTACTGGATTAAATAATGAAAATAATGGAAGAATAATTACTAAAGATTATATTGTTTAGTACTGGATTAAATAATGAAAATAATGGAAGAATAATTACTAAAGCTTATATTGTTTAGTACTGGATTAAATAATGAAAATGATGGATTCTCCGTGTTCTCTCTGGATGTGAGGTATGAAAAAATATGATTTTAATTCTTAATCTTTCGATTGAAAAATTGAAAAATTTAGACAATTTTATTTTAACAATTTAACATAAACTTTATATCCGCATAACTTTCTCGGCCTGTGTGAAAAAATGTCCGAAACTTAAATCCATTTTCTTGATTAATGATAGTTTTAGAAATGAAGAAAAAAATATTCTTTTTGGCAGCCCCAAAACAAAAATAAGTATTGTGGTAAATTATATAACACTTTTTAAATGTTTATTGATTGAAAGATGATATCTTGACTGAGATTTATTCCGAAACATTCAGGACATACAAAGAGCTTATTAGTTTCGCGTGCTATCTCCCCCATACACTACGCATATTTGTAAGTATGCGATACAGTTAAAATGATATTAGAGTTGTTGAATTAATGTAACAGTCACATATTTTGTTTTATCTGAGGCCGAATTTAATTAATTTGAACCGCGCCGCTGAATCGCCAATCACCGGTTCAAATTGCACGCTGGCTCAAACTCGAAACACTAATTAAAATTGCAAGTTGAACCTCGTCGAATGTTTGAACCGCGTTTAGGAGTGGTTCAAATTCTCGGCCTCTGTATTATCTTTAATTCTATCATGGTTTAGATTATACTTTTTACATTAGAACAAATTAATTGTGCTTTTCCTTATCCCCATATCTTTGAAATCTGATAGCTTAAACCTTTCATGCTGCTACCTTAGATTATTTGATCTAACAGAATTCATAGCTTGAAATAGTTTAGGTCTTCTAGGTTGCTATGATATAGGGATAAGAAATTCAGAGTTTGTGGCAAAAATGAATTCGTTTGAATTACTTAACTTCTAGAAAATAGATTGAAAGAATTTTAGAGCAGTCTTTGACTGTTTAATGCTCCAGGAATGTAGGAGCCGTGACCTTCTCAACCTCGCAACCTCGCGTGACTGTTTTTTTATATTAACCTAGCCTCACCCTGACCTTGAAAATTAGTATAATGCCAAAAACGTTTGGAGGGGGTTTCAAGAAGAGCTATTAGAAGACGTAGCTCCAAGATCACTTTGTGAAAGGATACTTTTGATTTGATTTTTTTGCAGGAGACATGAATTATCTCCACATAGGAAAACCCAGGTAAAGTGATTTCTTGACACAAAGAATGATAGATCGTCTTCAAAATTGAAATCTCAGAGGGTGGTTTAAAAATGAATAAAAATACAGTAGTTTATATCAATATAATATATACGACGATTGTACCAAAAACTCTTCACAAGTTATCATGCTAACTGGGACACACTGTCACAAAGTTTCAAATCCCGGAATATCGCTTTTTTTTCAAAATAGAAGCTAACTGTGGTTTAATGTGATTTAAATGCACGATCAATAATATTTCCTGTGCCGGGGTCAGATGGTACTTTTTGCAATTATAACGTAAACGCGTATATTCAAATAACCCTTCATTTATGCCTGATTCACAACATCACCCTTTAAACCTTTGTGTTATCATTGAAAACAGAGTAATCCGTGTGTTCATCTCTAAAATGGTGTTCAAGTTACCACAGAGTGTACACCAGTGTACAGCGTGAACATAATTATATTTCTCGAGAATCCCTAACATGCAATGTCCAACGCAATTTTCAAAAATTTCAATATAATTTTATTTCTGCTACTTCTAGAAGGAAAATATCAATACGTTATTAATATAAAACAGCTGTCAAACAAAATTATCAACAATTACATTTTATAGATAAATACGGTAAAGTCGTCCATCATCCTTGATCAGTCAACGGTTAAAAATGTACTGTTGTGAATCAGGCAGGCACGTCACCCTTCAAATGGAGGATCACTAGAAATTATGCCTACAGTCCCTTTAAATCTGTTTTTAGGCTCCTTGTGTTGGAGAGAACCAAGGACGTCAAGCTCCTATTCTCTCCTCTCTGGTCGCTGGTGTTGCTATCCCACCCCGGAGATGCAAGATTTTCCAAATAGAAACATGGCATTCAGGTCATATTCCTCAACTTGTAAACAATACCTTTTAATTCATTTTGGACAAAATTTTCTGATTTTTTGTTTTGTTCGGAAATTAGGCATATAAAAATAAAATGTGATAAAAAAATTCAAAAAAATTCAAAACATCGATGATCCCGGTTTTTTTTACTCACCCTGTATTTGAAAATATATATAGATTTCTTTTACAAGGTGGAAATATTGGAATACTGTAATACTCATAAAATTATTTTACTCAAACTTGTATTTATCTTTTATAAAAAACTTAAAAAAGATTATTGTTAAATCTAATTAACAATAGCAGGGGAATATATATGGGGGGTTAATGTAAAATGAATGACTATAATGAAAGATATAAAACAAGGTAAAAGCTGAAGGGTAGGAAAGAAAGCATTTATTTGATAGAGTTTGTTAATGCCAGAAATGAGTGGAAAATTGAAATCAAACCCAGCTAAAACCAATAATTTGAAATACATCATATGTTTTTCTGGGGGGGGGGGGGGCGCAAATTTAAAATTTTAATCCCCCCCTAGAAAATCTTTAAATACCCCCCTGGACAATAGAATACTTTTACAGGTTTGCTCCCCCTGCTACAAGGAGTAAAGGATTGGGAGCTGGAAGATTCAGCTCATCAACCTGTTATTGTTGTTTCAACAGACGGTCGGAGCAAGGTTGGAGTTTACACTCTACTATCCTACTGCAGGGATCAGATACAGAGGGAGAACGAGTTTGATATTATCCAGGAACGGAAATTAACTTATTAGATAAAAAATAGGATTAGATTAATTTTTATTTATTAGTTTTCAACCTATAAACTTCCTGCATTCGTCAAGGGTGGGGGACAAAAATTAAAAGTATTAGGAAGAATTGATACAACTATTCAAAACTACATTACAAGGAAATTAAGAGAATTTCACTTTACCAAGAGTTCTCTCGACCAATTTTTCCTACAGTCGTCGTCTTCTATATCAATACAATCAATACCACTTTTGATCTTAATTTTGTACTTCTACCAAGCTTTCAAACAGCATGGATGCACATAAACATGAGCACAAAGAGAAACTGGTTGTCAATTAACAGCTTCTCTTTGTAAACATAGAGTATGAAAAAAAGCTTGTTAGAAATCAAAATTAAAAAGAAAAATCGTCTTCATCTTATTGATAAAACCACCGACAAATGTACTAAACATCCAGAGCGTAGCGAGTTGTGGAAATCGTGGATTGGAAGGTTGATGAAAAGGCGTTAAAAGATATAATTTCTGTTAATCCAGGGAGCTGCAACCATCAAATCCCACCGACCCAGTTTACTCAAAACTGTTTCAGAGTATAAATTGGTTTATCAGCTTCTCAAACAGTTGGTCAAAAAACAGATGATCAGTACTTAAATCAGCTGCTAGTCAATCAACCGAACAAATTCAGAAGTTCACCAGCTCTTTATCAGCCCGGATAGAAAAACAGTTTATCAGCTTCTAAACAGCCGAAAAGACTGCAATTTATCAGCTTTTAAACCACTGAAAAGACTGCCGTTTATCAGATTCTAAACAGCTGATGAGACAGCAGTTTAGCAGCTTCTATACAGCTGATAAGATTGCAATTTATTAGATTTTAAACAGCTGATGAGACTACGATTTATCAGTTTCTAACCAGTTTATTCAATTATTGATATTCCAAAATTATCTTATTTGTTTGTTTAAATATGTTTTCTTTATTATTTATTGTTATTTCAATAAAAAACTTTAATTCGAACTTTAATTTATACTAGCTGCACATTAATCTTACTATAGAGGGCAGGGGATATAATCCCGTTTCATGGTGTCTAATGCAGGTATGCAACATACTTGTTCTGCCTGGTCGGCACTTCAAATGAAGTTTTCGGTAACAGAAGTGACCGTCATTGTCCTTTGTGTTAAAAAACGTCAAAAAATTAGACAAAAAACGACTTCCTCTGTCTAATGGTTAATCTAAGGGATAAGACACCCATTCTATGTTCTCAAGAGATCGCCTAATGTAACGATTTATTTTAAACGAATTTTGACAATTTGGCCACCTTGAAGGTAACATACTAAACACACATGTTTTGTCGCTTTACTTTAAATGTCTTACAAAATGGCGATATCCGATCCATTGAGTTTGACCTTTTTTCATAATTTCAATAAACGTTCTGAAGACTTAGAAAATTATGAAAAGCTGTATGATGATGTCGTCTTTGCAGATTTTTGTTTTCACATTCTTTTCTCTCTACAAAGCTGTAAATACAAACAATATTTACAGGGACATCCCTGTTACTATGTTCACAAACTTCTCCGCCACCATAATGATAATTAAGGGTGTTCGCGTCTTCACGTCTTTGTGGGAAAGTTAGCTCCAATTGATCCCCACTTCCAGACTTTACTACGTAAAGATATTTAAGAGCTTGAATGTCGTCTTAGTAAGTTCGAGAATTCAGATTATGCAATAATGTAATGATCTGAACAATTTGTAATTAACCTTTATTTCTCATATAATTTGTTCACAAGCTTGGGAACCCACTTTGCCTGGAACCTAATTTTTCTCTATAAAAATTAAGCCCTTTTGTTTAATCTTCTTTTAGTTTAGCCCCTTTAGGTTTATCTTTCTTTAGTTTATCTTTCTTTAGTTTATCTTCCTTTAGTTTCTTTTCCTTTAGTTTATCTTCCTTTAGTTTATCTTCCTTTAGTTTCTTTTCCTTTAGTTTATATTTCTTTAGTTTCTCTTCCTTTAGTTTATTTTCCTTTAGTTTATCTTTCTTTAGTTTATCTTCCTTTAGTTTCTTTTCCTTTAGTTTATATTTCTTTAGTTTCTCTTCCTTTAGTTTATCTTCCTTTAGTTTATCTTCCTTTAATTTATTTTTCTTTAGTTTATCTTTCTTTAGTTTATTTTCCTTAAGTTTATCTTCCTTCAGTTTCTTTTCCTTTAGTTTATCTTCCTTTAATTTATTTTTCTTTAGTTTATCTTCCTTTAGTTTATCTTCCTTTAATTTATTTTTCTTTAGTTTATCTTTCTTTGGTTTATTTTCCTTAAGTTATCTTTCTTTAATTTATCTTCCTTTAGTTTATCTTTCTTCAGTTTATCTTTCTTTAGTTTATCTTTCTTTAGTTTATCTTTTTTTGTTTATCTTTCTTTAATTTATCTTTCTTTAGTTTATCTTCCTTTAGTTTATCTTTTTTTGTTTATCTTTCTTTAATTTATCTTTCTTTAGTTTATCTTTCTTTAGTTTATCTTTCTTTAGTTTATCTTTCTTTAGTTTATATTTCTTCAGTTTATCTTTCTTTAGTTTATCTTTCTTTAGTTTATCTTTCTTTTTTTAAATCTCCTATTAGGTTATAGAAATATTTCTTCATTTTATGTTCTTATATTTAATTTGTCTTTTTTGTATTTCTTTCCTGGTTTAATGTATAAACTGATTCTATGCAAGTAAGGAGTAAGGACGGAAAGAGCTGAAATGTTTCTAAAAACTAATTAAACGCGGGAACTTTTCTCTTTAATTCCTCGAACCAACACGAGGAAGCGACCTTCAAGTCTGCTTGACCTCTCCCGAATTCTCCGTTTTCTGATTGGGTTTCAGTTTGACTCTCTGGGCCAACCTTGATTTTCTAAAGTTTTAACACTTCAGGGAGTTGGCTTGACCTTTTTTATGTCAGTTTTATCATGCTTAGTAACTTTCTTTCTAGTTAGCTATCTTTCTATTTCCTGACAATGTTTAGTATCTATGTATCTTTAAGTTTTTATCTATTTTAAAACCCAAATGAGCTAAACTCATGCAACATTAAGCTGAGGTAAAAATAAATTCATTAAATGGGTCGGGCTGGATTGAAGGTTAATAATGTAAACACATTTTTTAAATTTACCTTCTTTTTCCACTAAATATAATGTCGAAAATCTTTCGAACCTTTCAGAATTTGTAGTAAAAAATATTTTTTAACAATTTAAAGCACGAGGAAGTCGTTTAAATAAAAACGGTCGCAAATCTCTGTAGCTGTTGAGTTTCAAAAAATGATATTTGGATAGATATTTAGATATTTAGAATTTATTGTCAAAAATTGAAAAGTACAGCTAATTCCCGGATATTTAAATGAAGTGTCGAAAGTGCAAAGTACCACAAATACCCGGATATGTTTTCATAAAATGAAGTTACAAAAATCTCGCATTACGATTATCAAGGTATTTTAAAGAAATTGCAAAGGAATTGAGTTTTTGTCCCAAACTCTGATTTTCTTATACCTATATCTTTGTATTTTAATGTCGATGATTTTAGATATTTCAAACTATCAATCATTTTAGATCAAATTATGATAGTTCGAAATATCAAAGGTTTTCACCATCAGGTTAAAAAGATATAGCTTTTTAAAATCAGAATTTGTGGCAAAAACTCAGTTCCTATGAGAAGAAGGGAGGGGGGGGGGTGAAGGTGCACCTTATTTTTAAATAAAGTTAAAGAATATCAGCCAGAAAATTGGTAATATCTTGGGTTTAATCAAGCAACTAAATTTTTTATAATCAAGTAGAATCATTTTAATCCATGCAAAGAGCGGCTTTTCAAATTAAAAAGAATCAATTCGAAAACCAAAGAGGATTAAAGCTAAGAGTGTTAATTCAAAAAAGAAAAATCAATACAAAACAAGCATTATCTGTAACCTGTATACAGAAACATTGATAGTAATATCTGTAACCTGTATACAGAAATATTGATAGTATTATCTGTATCCTGTATACAGAAATATTGATAGTAATATCTGTATCCTGTATACAGAAACATTGATAGTATTATCTGTATCCTGTATACAGAAACATGGATATTATTATCTGTATCCTGTATACAGAAACATTGATAGTATTATCTGTAACCTGTATACAGAAACATGGATATTATTATCTGTATCCTGTATAGATACAGAAGCCTGGACTGTAATATCTGTATCCAGTATGGATATTTGAACCAAGACTGTATGTCTGTATTCAGTATGGATACAGTAACCAAGACTATAATATCTGTATCCAGTATAGATACTTGAACCAGGACTGCAATATCTGTATTCAGTATGGATACTTGAACCAAGACTGTAATATCTGTATCCAGTAGTGATACTTGAACCAGGACTGTAATATCTGTATCCAGTATGGTTACTTGAACCCGTTATGTAATATATGTATCCAGTATGGATACAGGAACATTGAATGTATTATCTGTATCCAGTATGGATAAAGAAACCATGATTGTAATATCTGTATTCAGTATGGATAAAAGACCAGGATAGTATTATCTGTAAGACTATATCCAGTATGGATACAGGAACCCGGATAGTATTATCTGTAAGACTGTATCCATGGTATGGATGCAGGAACCAGGATAGTATTATCGGTAATATCTGTATCCAGTATGGATACAGGAACCAGGGTAGTATTATCTGTATGTAAGACTGTATCCATTATGGATACAAGAACCTGGAGAAAGGGCGGGAAACCTCCCAAGGCTAGAAGAGGGTATCACCCTGCTGTATCATCAACCTTGATGTTCAGGGCCACTAACTACACATACTAGAGTACACAATAGATTTCTAATCTGTCTTTATATCCATCTATCGTTATTTCTATCTATCTACTTTTAAATCTATCAATCTATCTACTTTTGAATCTATCTATCTATCTATTTTCATATCTTTCTTCTTTATATCTGTTCATATTTATGTCTATCGTTTCATTCCACATAGTATTCTTTCAATCTGTCTATCTTTATATCCATCATTCTTCTTACCTATATTTAATACTTTTAAAGGGACTGTAAGCGTAATTTCAAGTGACCCTACATGCGAAGGTGGCTATGTCCGATTTACAACGGTACCCTGAAAAGCGTTGTCTGACAAATTAGATATCCATTTCTCCATACTTCCAATGGAGAAATGAACAGAAATGAGTCAGAAAAACAACGTTATCTTTAACATTTTTGATGAGATTAGAGTTTCAAGAAAACTGTTGTAAATCGTGCATTGCTTTCTTTTCATGGAAGGTACTTAAAGTTACGCTTAGAGTCCCTTTAATACATTTCTATGCTTACTAAACCGGATGATTGATGTCTGATGAAAACTGTACTCACATGAATTTAAATAAATAAGGTAAATAAAATCAATTAAGTAAAAACTAACATTATTTATAACATTAAGAAGCCATTATCATCCAGTTGTCCATATCGCTCCTTGACTGTATCCCTCCTTGGCTGTATCCCTCCTTGTCTATATCCCTCCTTGTCTGCATCCCTCCTTGTCTGTATCCCTCTTTGACGGTATCCCTCCTTGACTGTATCCCTCCTTGACTGTATTCCTACTTGACTGTATCCCTCCTTGACTGTATCCCTCCTTGACTGTATCCCTCCTTAACTGTATCCCTCCTTGTCTGTATCCCTCCTTGACTGTATCCCTCCTTGTCTGAATCCCTTCTTGACTGTATCCCTCCTTGTCTGTATCTCTTCTTGTCTGTATCCCTCCTTGTCTGTATCCCTCCTTGACTGTATCCCTCCTTGTCTGTATCCCTCCTTGACTGTATCCCTCCTTGTCTGTATCCCTCCTTGTCTGTATCCCTCCTTGACTGTATCCCTCCTTGTCTAACAGGGTATGTGGAGCCTAAAACTTGTTTCTCTTATCTTAATGAGAAGGTAGATCCTGGTATGAAAATCATTATTCTTAAACCCTAAGACCATGCTGAGATGAGTTGAGAGGGAAAATAAACAAATATAA